AGGGCCCGATGATCAGCCCCGGGGGACAAGGATCGTGGGTCCCCTGAGGAGGCCTGAGAGAGAAGATGGGCTGGCAAAGGAAGATAGAGACCAGGCTGGAAAAAACCCACATGCTGTTCTGAGTTTTAATTTGTCCTGTGGGCAATGGATCATAAATCTCAGGATATTCATCCGGGATGTTTTATGTATCCATCATTCATTCCTTTTGATTGCTGTTTACAGTTTTCGGTATTACGAATTGACTAAAGTGCTATAAACTTGTATGTGTGTGTAAATCTTTAATTCTTTCATTCTTTGGAATAAATGCCTGCATACATGGCACTCCATCCTTCACGGCGCCGCGTGCCGGAGCCCCAGGAAGGAGCCCCGGGATGCTCGGGGCCTGTTGGGAGCAAGGCCCCGCGAGTGTTTCACAGTGGTGACCTTTGCCGTCCACCCAGGGACACGTCCACCTAGCGCCTTGGGGTTTTCCGGGCCAGTCCCTGCGTTCACGAAAACCGCCTTCTGCTCAGTCCGTGTTCACGTTCTAGAGTCGACGTCTCAGGTCCCCTTCCCCGCCACCACCCCCAAAAGCGGCTCCCCTCGCTACGTCCAGGGCTAACTTACTGACTCGGCTTTTCTAAGCTGTTGGATATTTCCGTTTCTTCCAGGCAAAGAAAAAGAAGAAAGGCAAAAAAGGGAAAAAGGGGAAGGATAAGGACTTGACGGCCGACAGGTGAGGACGGTGCTCGGTCTGTCGTGATGCACGCGAGGGCCCCGGAGTCCCCGGAGGAGAGCGGGCCCCGCGGCCCCGCCCGGCGCATCACACCCCCACCCTCCGACAGTGTCTGGCGAGAGTGTCCCGCGTCTCCGCCGTCCCGTAGGAAGGGCGGCGTCCTGCCTGGGGGGTGGGGGCCCAGGTGGCACACTCACGCGCCATTGCGTCTGAGCTCCTGTGACTTCCGTAAGCTGTAAGGCTCCTGGGGTTCTTAAGATACAACGGCCCAATCCAGCTTTTTAGGAAATGCTGGCTCTGAGTTCCTCAGGGGCAGAGACAGTTCATCTGTCCCTTCCCATCCCTAGGCTGGCCCGCCGAGGCCCTTCTAGAAGCCAGTGACGGAAAGGAGGAGTTTAGTCTCACGGAGAGTTCTGTCCCTGTCCTCGAGCTTCATCGGCTGGACTGCAGGAACGAATAAGTTAAAATCCTCATTTTTTAAAGATGAAAAATGGCCCGTTCGTGTTTTTAACACTGGAGATAAATAGGTTTTCAAGGAATTTAATTAAAATCCCTAATAAATGAATACCAGGAATCGTTTCAAAGGATGCTTTTCTTCCCTTGGGTTTTGCATCCCTGGTTTGGGGTGTCCCCTATCCCCTCTTGGGTTCCAGGGGTACACTCCCAAACTCTGGGAGAAGAGCCACGAGAGAGGAAGCCAGCAGAGAGCTGTCCACGAGGGAAGAGCCCAGAGCACCCCAGAGCACCCCAGAGCACCCCAGAGCTGGGGGGCGGGCCTGGAGCCTGGCTG